AGAGATAGAGCGCACAGAGATAGAGCGCACAGAGATAGAGCGCAATCTAAATAAAGATATAGGCCTGTGTTTCTGAGCTCATCTAATTCCTCACAGAACAGCCAGCGAAACACGATTTCTAGAATATTATGAATGAATATCTGCATTCATGTTAGATTTAAGGTCTGTGTTTTATTCTTTAAATGTGTATTTATTGAAGCCTTTAAAAAAGTAAATCAACTTATGGAATCGTTTCATATACAGTCTATAGAGGCTTGTTGGTTTTGTTTTAGTAACTTTAGTTGTTTTATATTTCTCACCTGTTGGAAAGTCGCCTCTTCCAATCCCAGCCGCCTAAACTCTGCAATAACAGCTCTGAGGAAGAGCTGCTCCTGTGTTGACGCACACCTGAAGAAGGAAAAAAAAACCCCACATCGGTCACTTCTCCTTACAGCTGCCAATGCACATCTCTACAGCGTGCATTACTAATGTGACCAAAGGTTTGGTCTCACCTGATGGCAGTGATGTAGGCAGAGGAAAACATCTCATTCAGTGCTTCCATCACGTGACTCATTCCCACCAATCCTGCGGAGGAAGGGTCAGCAGCTGAGTGCTCACAGATCTCCGTTGCCCGCCGACAGATGTCCAAACATCGGCGAGCATCACCGGACAGAGCAGCCACCTGCCAGATATGAGGGACACGGACGTGACTTGACGGTGGGCAGGTGAGTACACAACAGAGCGGGTGAGACTGCATTAAAGACAATCTGGTTGCCAACCTTCCTGGACGCCAACTGCAGAGCGTCCTCCTCAAAGGCCTTCAACTTGTTCAGCCTGGACATGATGATCTCCTGCAACTGCTTGAAGCTGTACGGCTGGAATGACATCCTGGTCAAACCCTGGAAGCAGCAATGCAAATGATCAGTGGCTTTTAGTTTATGTTTTTTTCCTACAAGTCATCTGAATGAGATATTTAGTTGTTGTATTATTATTCAGATATTCAAAGGGCCGAAAAGCAAAATAAGTAGAAGAAATTATCTCGAAAAGACAGGAAGTAAAGTGATGTCAAATTGTTTAACACAGTCTGACACTTGAATGAGAATTACACAAGTGCATTTCTGTTACTACTACTTTGTCACAGTAGCTTTAGCTTGTGTCCATGTGCGGGCAGGAACATAAATCAGCCAGTAAATTGCAGCTTTGGCTTCATGCTCAAATCTTTTTACCACACAGCAGTGACCTTTAAACCATCATTCATAGTATTGCTGTCAGGGAACGTAAAGAATAGCAGTGTTTAATCACAGTCTCACCAGTCTACTGGCCACTCTGTTGATCAGGATTCTCTCGGGCAGATCCATTGTGTTGGCGATGGTCAGCACCACCAGGCGAGCATGACGCCGTGTCGGCCAATCGAACAGGTTGTACATGACGTTCTGCTTCCTCGTCCACAGCAGGTCTAACTAAAGCGGGCCGAAACAAAAAATATAGTACAGGATGGTTATTCTGCTGTCACAATTCTTAGTTAAAAGTGACAGACAAGCACACAGGCTCTATACATGGTGTGAGCAGGCACCATTTCCTGAGGAACCTGGGGTTCTGCAACATGTTGAGCAAAAATTATCCATCCATCCTCTTCCCGCTCATCCTTACAGGGGAAAGGGTTACGGGTGGGAGGGGGCTGGAGCCTATCCCAGCTATCATAGGGTGAGAGGCGGGGCACACCCTGGATAGGTCACCAACCTAACACATGGCTAACACAGAGAGACAGAACAAACTGTTATCCAGTATGATTTATATTACTAATTAGAGTAATATCGGCCTCTGTGATGCACACATCCCAACCAGACATGAACTTGTTAAAACTAAATAGACTATATTTCCAAATATAGGTCAGACATTGTGGTTGGACGACAAAGTCCGGTTTATAGACTCAGGTCTGTTTTATCGCAAAGATGTTCTATACAGCTGAGGTGGGGACTCTGTGCAGGCCAGTCAAGTTCTACCGCACCAAACCTGCTCATGCAGGTCTTTATAGATCTTGCTTTGTGCAGCGGTGTGCAGGAAGGAGCCACCCCCAAACTGTTCCAACGTAGTTGGGAGCATGAAATCGTTCAAAATGTCTCGTTCTGCTGAAGCATTAAGATTTCCTTTCTCTGGAACTACAAACCAGGCCCTTGAAAATAACCCAACTCCATAATATGGCCCCCACACCACCAAACTTTATACTTGGCACAATGCAGGCAGACAGGCAAACCCACACTTGTCCATCGGATTGCCAGACAGAGAAGCATGATTTGTCTCCTCTGCTCTACAGTCCAGTGCTGACATGCTTTACACCACTGCGTTCATTGCTTTGCATTGTGCTTTATGATTTAAGGATTGTATGCAGCTGCATGGGTTTCAATGGAAAGCTGTCTACACACGGTTCTCGAGCTAATCTGAGTTTAGAGGTCTATAGCGACTGACTCTACAGAACGTTGCTGACCTCTGGACACCACGCAACTCAGCATTCGTTGACCCTACTTAGTGATTTTATGTGGCTTTCCACTTTGTGCCTGACTTGTCATAATACCACAAACAGCTGATTGTGGAATATTTAATATCAAGGAAACTTCACGACTGTACTTGATGTGCAGATGCCATCGTATCACTGTATGAGAGCAACCTACATTTCTCAGACTATTAGGCAGAATACCAGTTACCTTGTGATAAATGGTCAACAAGTGAATGTGAAGTCAGGGGCTTTGCTCACAGAATATAATTTAAGAATGCTAAAATTGTTCTCACGCCACATGGTGGCATGGTGGTTAGCACTGTTAGCACCTCACAGGGAGAAGGTCCTGAGTCGACTTTCTGTGTGGAGTTTGCATGTTCCTCATGTGTCTCTGTGGGTTCTCTCCGGGTACTCCGGCTTCCTCCACAGTCCACAGACATGCGGTTACTAGGGTTGGGTTAATTGGTGACTCTAAATTGCCCATATTTGTCAATGTAAGTGCACATCTCTGTGTTAGCCCTGTGGCACACTGTTGATATACTGAGTGTGTCCCCTGCCTTTTGCTCTATTGTAGCCAGGATAAGCTCCGGGCCCCCATGACTATGATAAGGATAAGCGGGAAAAAAATTCCTCTTTAAAAGAAAAGAAAAAAAAATTGTTCTTACTTCATCCACAAGCAGCACAATAGTCTCCTTCCTGGGCGCTAGGTTGCTGAATCTCTTTTCCAGCAGAACTGCTGCGTGGTCAGGTGTGGCTTTCTGACCAGTCAGTTTCTGCAGGGATGAGATAAATAAATGAGAGACGTTAATACGGCAGGTCAGCAGATAGCCCATGTGTCAAAGTATCCTTGGCCACCACACTGAAACCCGAGATGCTGATTATTACTTGACTAAAGCCTGCAGCGGCTGTGAAAAAGCTTCATTCCCACCTGTAGGATTTGGACGTAGGCCTGGTGTGGGTCTGTCATTTTCATCCCATTGATCTCGATGAAGTGGAATGAAGGGATTTCATCCATGTCAGCTGCGTGCTGCAGACAGCGAATCACCTCATGAACTGTCGCTGTCTTTCCAGTTCCTGGCACACCAGAGATGTACATGCACCTGTAATAAAACAAAATCCCAGTTTTTCAAAAAAAGACAAAACAAACAAACAAAAACAACAATAGCCTCGAGACATGTAAACCCTGAAGTGTGCAGATGCGACTCCAGTAAGACTGCTAAAAGCTTTCTCTCACCCTCCTGTGTTGTCAATGATCTTGCTTTCCACAAAGCTGTAGATGTCCTGAAACTCCTGCTCCCTGCAGGGCAGAGACTCTGGCACCGATGACACATGCAGCCTGATAAAAGAGGAAGAACTCATTAAAATACAACAGTTTAAATTTCAGTCGATCTGCAAGTAAACTTTTACTGCACCAACTCTCCATCTTCTACTTCGTGACTGCAACGTGCTTTACTACAGCCCTCACACATACACGACTAAAAGGTCAGCTGCAGACACAATAACACAGTTGTTCCTGTTTGACTTTCAAGGACACTCAAAGTCCACCTGAAGGGTGCATGCATTGTTGCTGCACTGTGGTTGCGGTTCAAACACATCATACAACAGCTCATGCTCACCATCTGATGTGTCTGCACCGCAACAAAGAAAGTTTAGTTTTCTGAGTCCTGTCACTTGTGTCTACCGTGAGCTCACCTGGTTCTGGCTTCCTCCAGGATGTTAGCCGGCTGTTGGGTCTGCAAGGACCTGATGGGGATGCTGGGCGTGGCATGACGGGGGGTTTTGGGCGTTCCCGGCGAGATCTGAAAAAATAGGAGAGAGACGGTGAGAAAGTGGTGATCTCATGTCTGAATATCAGTGTGCGTCTGGTCTTCATCACCTTCTTTGCGGGAGTTCTTCGTTGCGTTCTCGCTGAGGAGTAAGATTTCTGTTTTGAACGAGAACTGCGAGAACCCGTCGCAACATATCGGAACTTCTTCGCTGTCACTTGATCATCAATATTCGGCCCATCCTCATCTTGACCCTCCTCTTCGCTGCTGCTCAGCAAGTCATTCTTAGATGGAACAAACTCATCCTCTTCCTCTCCGGATGAGTTTAGGTCCTGATGGTTTTCCAGAAGATTCCTGATGGAACACATAAGGCGGCTCAGACACCCTTAAGATTTACAAGTCGTGTTTCACTTTGTTAACGTTTGATTCTGGTGGTGCTACGAAGCCAAAACACAGGCTACATAAGACTTTAACATTTTTTAACATAAGTTAAAAAAATAATCAACAGAAAGGGTGTGAACATTAACGATCGTGTTAATTCAAGCTTCAAGCAGCAGTAATGGTGCCCTCACACCTTTAATCCAGGTATTTCTTATTGCCTGTTTTAAGGCCTGGAAGCTCACTGGCCCTTATAAATAAATTATGCACACTGTGTGGTTTCAAACAACACTCACTAATTATACTTAATTTTGCTCCACATATTCATGCGTGACTTTATGATGTGGCAATCACTGGACAAGAGGTGGGGTACACCCTGTACAGGTCGGCAGCCTGATGCACAAAGACAAGCCTTCACTTTCACATTCATACTTATGCACAATTTAGATGTAATTAACTTCAGAGGAAGCCGGTGTACCTGGAGAGAACATGCAAACTCCACACAGAAAGGC